GAGAGTAGAATAGTAATTTTCCTGCTAGATGAATTGACCAAAGAAACATAAGATAAAATAGGGCAAAAACCTCATAGTATCTGGGGAGGAAAGAATAAGAGAAAAGAAGTAGAGTAGGAGAATAATGAAGAAAAAAATGGGAAAAATGCAAAAAGAAAAACAAGGAAGGGGTTGAACCACAAGAAAGAAAAAAATGGGAACCAGGAAAAGAGAAGAGAGAAAAAGCCAAAAACTAGAACCTGGGAAGGGAAGAAGAAATAATAATAATAAAGGATGAGGGGAAAAAAAAAGTAATTTTAAAACAGACAAAAATAAACTTAAAAAAGGAAAACAATTCTGGGTGAGGCAGGGCACCCAGGCTCTACTGGAGCACACGGACTGGGGTGGAATTCCTGCTGGCCCAGGAGGTGGGTGGAAGTGAGGGATGACTGTACCTCCATTCATCAAGAGGGTGTAGGGTATAAGAGTAACAAGGGGAATATCGCACCTCTCCAGTCCTCAGTGTCCGGTATGTCCTTGTGGTCCCTGGCAAGTGGAGCCTATTCTTAGGTCCCTGGAATCTGAGAGAATGCTGTCATATTAAATATGCAAAATGGTCGAACTCCTTGTAAACATTCAAAATGGCTGTGCCCTCTGGACAGCCAAAAGTTCACAGCAGCCTATCTCCCTCTTCACTGCTTCCCCTTTTTGTTCACCAGCCACCAGTGCAGTCCTCTGTGCAGCCTCTGGCTAGCAGGGCCGATTTTTAGGTTAATTCTTAGGTCCTGACACCACCTGGCAATATCCATGCTGTCTGTGCCGTCAGGATCACTGACAGACTCCAGCTCGTATGTCTCCTTTTTTGGTGTTTTCATGCAGGGTCTTCTACTAGTTGGAGTTTAGTCCACTTCTGTATCCTTCCTTTCAGGGCTTCAGGATTGTCTTCTGTATCTGTGTTAATTGGTTCCTCTTTTCTTTGTTGAAGTGGGTCTGTGTAGTTTGTCTGTCTATTCCGCTGTTTTCAAGTTGCTTTATTTCACATCCTTATTTTTAGTTTTCAGAGAACTTTCTAGGAGAGAATGCTGCCAGAACAATGCTGGTGTCTAGCATAGTAGCAGATCTCTTTGATGAGAAGTCTTTTTTTTCCTTTCTGAATTTATTTTGTTGTTGCTGTTGAGAGTATATACAGCAAAACATACACTTACCTGACAGTTTCGACATAACAGTTTAGTGACATTGATTACCTTCAAATTGTGCAACCATTCTTATCCTCCTTTTCTGAGTTCATCTTTCCTCAGTAACATAAACTCACTGCCCCTCAAAGTTCCTATCTAACCTTTTGAGTCTGTCTTTTAAAGAAGAAGATTGCAGATTCTACCGTGTCTTGACTACAGCCTGGGTGAGCAGAGAGCCGCCCTGGGAAGGAGGCTCTTTTCAGGCCTCTCCTTAACATCTGCCCCAGGAGAAGAGGACTGGCAGTTACTTGCTTTGTAATAGCTTGTCCATACCCTATGTGGAAACCACCTTGTGAAACTCGGTAACTACTCGCCCTGACCAGATTCTTTCCAACAGATCAATCATGATTTTTTGTAAGCAAATATGTATCAAAGTATAATTTATTACCAGTGAATGTTGGCTGTATTATATGGGTATCCTAAATTATTTTCTCCAAAGTGTATGAGATTGTTGCATGGACCTTGCCCGACAGTTGAAATTGATTAACTATGCCTTTTTGTTTTTTTTTCCCAAAGGAACTCCATGAGGGCAGATAGTATATCCACAAGCAACATAAAAAACAGAATTGGTAACAAATTACCATCTGAGAAATTTGCAGATGTGCGACATCTGTTAGATGAAAAACGTCAACACACACGTCCAAGGCCACCGGTCAGCAATACAAAGTCAGGTAATTACTCTTTGCTTGTGGTTCTGGGCTTCTTAGTATCAGAAAGCAGATTAGGGCTGGAAATAGATTCCTGGGTAGAAAGTTGACATTTTTGTGGACTGATTTAGTTGTTCTTGTTCATCACTTCTAAATTTTATGCTAATAAGCATTAGAATTTCAGAACATGAAAAATAAAAGACTTGCAATATTAGCTTTTAACCCCAAGGAACAATTTTATTTTGTATGCTGTTGGCATGCTTTATTCCCAAGAACAAAAGAAATTAAGTTGAGTTCATGTGTGAGTGGTTAAAAGTTTGAACTAAATAGAATTAGTTTTTGTGTGTAAACACTCATACAGTATGTATTTGGCCATGCATCAGGCCCTGGGCAAAGTGCTGGGAGTGTTAGAAGTCTTTAGGGGGAGATGTAGAGCCATCATAGAACTCACATGGAGAAACATGAGTGCACATATTCAGATAATTCCACCCCAGAAGCAGAATGAAATAAGTACTCTAGTAGATTTGTAAGCAGTGGGCTGGGGGAGCCAAGAGGGGAGATGGACCAATAGGTAGATTATGGAAGACTTCTTAGAGAAAGTGGCTTTAGAACTAGACCTTGGAGAGAGGAGGGAATAGGATCTCATTTGGTAAACCTATGTTTTTGAAGTGAGAAGTAATCTGACCTTTTATCTATTTTAGAAAGATAACTTGGAGGTGGGATAGGGTGGAGTGGAAAATAGTTAATGAGGGGCTGACCTAGATCAAGAGTGGTGGTAACAGAATGGATGGAAACATGACACTTTACAAAGGAAGGCTCAGTTAATACTAGAAAGTGATAAGGGAAGGAGAATCAGAAGCCAAAGGGCTCAGGCTTGGCTAACTGGAAAGACGCATTGTTGCTCTCTGAGAGATGAGTGAATGACAGCACAGTGTTGTGCTAATAAATGTGTTTTTGTTATTGCTCTTGTGTTTTGGAACTCAAAACGACAGGCAGATTTCTGGTAGGGATTAGAGGAGAACATAATTGGTTTGGGACATCTTACCTTGTTCCTTTGTTTTTTGCTCGTCTTACTGCATTTACTGGTTAACTATGTAGTAAGTTTATTGAAAACTTTTATGTTCAAAGATTGTAGCTTCTGTCTTTAGAGTGCACGTAATATTATTTGTTAGCTGAAATTTTTGTAAATTATTTGGTCTCCTTGGTTCTACTTAAAAAAAAATCTGCCTCAGAAATTCCTTTCTGGACCAATTGGCTGAGGTTTTTTTTCCTCTGACAGCCCCCTTACATAAGAATTTTCCTGGGGGAATCCAGGAAGATTGTGATTTTGAAGAGAGAAAGGCTTTTAGAAACCTGTTTGGGGCCCTGTGTCCTCACTCAGGCAGATTCATACCATGCCCTTTAGAATCATGCATGCTTTGTTACAGGTGTACTTTTTCTCTCTCCCCCCTGCCCCCATCCCCTTCCAGATATACGCCAGCGGTTAGGAAAAAGACCGTATTCTCCAGAAAAGGCTTTGAGTAGTAACCCAGTCCTGCGGAGAGAGCCTTTTTCTGATGTACATAGTAGGTTAGGTGTTCCCAGACAAGATGTTAAAGGCCTCTACTCTGATACCCGGGAGAAGAAATCAGGTTGGTAACACTTTTTTTCTTTTCCATTATAATTATTGTCATAATAGCTAATGGTAACAGTATGGACAGTGTAGAAATTAGGGGAAAACGTACCTCTGGTTCTTTCTGTTTAGTACATGTTTTTCGATTTCATGTTTGTTATCTAGTCTTTGTCCATACACATATCCTGCTTTTCTCATATAGCCAAAAACCAAACCCATTGCCATTGGGTCGATTCTGATGTCCCTGTGGGTCAGAGTAGAACTGGCCCATAGGATTTGCTTTATGGAAGCAGACTGCTTCATCTAACCCCCATGGAGCAGCTTGTTGTTGTTGTTGTTATGTGCCGTCTAGTCAAACCCGACTCATAGCGACCCCTCCTTGGGTTTCCAAGGCAGTATCACTACGGAAGTAGGATTGCCCAACCTTCCTTCCGAGGAGTGGCTGGTGGGTTTGAACCGCCAGCCGTCTGGTTAGCAGGCAAGTGTCTTAGCCACTATGCTACCAGAGCTCCCATGGAGCAGCTAGTAGGTTTGAATCACCATTAGCAACCACATGTTTTAATCACTGTACCACCAGAGCTCCTTATTATAATTGTTTTCCTATATTGTTATATTCTGCATAAATAAAACTTTAATTATCTTACAATTCTAAACACTTATTTCCCTGTTATTCCCCAAAAAACCCCAAGCTCACTGCCATTGAGTTGGATCCGACTCATAGTGACCCCTCCTTGGGTTTCCGAGGCAGTATCACCACAGAAGTAGATTGCCCCATCTTCCTTCCAAGGAGTGGCTGGTGGGTTTGAACTGCCATCCTTCTGTCAAATGCCTGAGGCACTATGCCACCAGAGCTCCTTTCCCTATTATTAGATATTAATAAAAATATTTTTATAATTACTGGAGAGTGGGTAAAATCTCTGGAAGGCTATAGTGTAGCAGGCCCATTGATTTGTAGACTTTCGAGCTGGAAAGGATCTGGGAACAGCCCATTCCTAGCAGGCTGAAGCGCCACACAAGGGTGGTGAGTCTCACCAGGGAGGAGCGTAGGTAGCACAAAACAGCCTCCTGGGGGAGTATATGTCCCCTAACTCTGAGGATCACTACTGGGTGCAGACCCCTCAGTTTACAGGCAGGGAGGGGACTGCAGCCAGGGACATGAGATTACGTCAAAAGCTGTGCAATGGGTGGAAGTGCCCCCAGCCTCCAGTGTTTCCTGCATCGCAGGTGTTGGTAGCACCCTGCTTCCCCAGCACTACCACTTCTCAGCATTGACTGCCAGGAGTGAAATGCCTTCTCACCCAAACAGGGAGTTTATGGACTCGCTTAGGATCCACACCCAAGACCAAAGACAAGAATATGAAGAAAGTGGAGCACAGGACGCCCGGCACTGAGGAAGACGACTCCGAGCTGCAGAGGGCGTGGGGGGCTCTGATTAAGGAGAAAGAACAGTCTCGCCAAAAGAAGAGCCGGTTAGATAACTTACCATCTCTCCAGATTGAAGTTAGTCGGGAAAGCAGCTCTGGTTCAGAGGCAGAATCCTGATGCCCTTGTGCCCAAAGGCAGCTGCCCTAAAGCCTGACATTCTTGCACAGGGTCGGGCGCACAGTAGGAACCTCCCCTGCAGGAGTTGGTGCCCCTCCTACTTGTACTCATACAGTCACCCTTAGTTCTTGCTGTTTGAGCAAGACATCTTAAGAATGTGATGTGTTTTGAAGGGCATCTATCTTATCTATCTTTTGCTGCAGAGTAATAGTTCTGGGCCCTCAATTCTTTTCCCACATCCCACAAGCTTTACCCTTTGAGAAAAAGGCAGCCCTCCAGGTTTTGTAGATGTTTTTCTTAATATTTTTAACATTGTGCTTTTAAAAAAAATGTTTTACACAGTTCATCCAAAGAGCAGAGAACTGAACTTCTCACTATTGCCTTGGCCCTGACAGCTGTTACCAGCACCCTTTTCCCAAGAAAAGTCAATTCCCAGGTGCTTATTGGACAGCCTTCGAGGGGGACGATGAGGGAAGCTGCCAGCTCACCCTTCCAGGACCCTAGTGTGGGGGCCGAATCCCATGGACCTGACCTCAGAGGTGCACCAGTGCCGCCCAGGTAGATAAGAGACACAGCATTGATCGTGCTTCCGTTCAGCCCTCGGGGATTTCTGTTAGGGGCCTCTTACTACCCATCTGCTTGAAGTGAAGATCAAGTTCAGTGCTGTGGGGTTTTTAGGAACAAAAAACTGTGACTTCTGGATTTGGGGTTGATTTTTGTGCTAGGGGTGGGGTCATGGGCTAATGTTGAACAATTTTTAAGTCTGTATTATGTTTAAAAATATTAATGATTTAAAAGTTTAAATTTTTATATGTGAAAATTCTTCCTGTTGGCTACAGGGGAAACTCAAGTGGTGTCTTCTTATGTGCTGTTAAATATATATTATATACTTTGGAAGAAGGCAAAAGGAGGAGTCTCATTATTTTTTGAATGATCCTAATTGTATAGTGTGTTTATTGTACATAGTGTTGAACTTGTTTTTCCACCATTGTAGGAAACAAAATCCATCCATCTGAGGTGGGGTCATGTTGTTTATTATCACTTTAGAAGTGATAATTGATATTTATTTTTTCTGCCTTCAAATTCTGGCACTTGGAAGATTTCTTCATAAGTGACAAACAGTAGTTACAGAAATCTTAGTTCATTTATTGCTGAATTCCTTTCAGGTTGTTTTACCATGAAAAGGCAGTAGATTAGTTTACCTTCCTGACTGTTCTTCGTTTTGAAGTGTTTAACATTTGTATTCCTCTACAGGCTTAAAAATAAAAATAGTGTTTCACTTCGGGTCACTAGAAGTTGGGAGTTAGATATAATGAGCCTCTGCCCCCTTTGTAACGTCACAGGTCGTCACCTGCCTGGGGTGTTGAAGCAACTGATGTAACCCTGGGTTCTAGAGTCTTCACTTGTGGCTAAGCTGAAGGTCACATTGACAGTTGGTTACACTGTGGTACGATTGAATGCAAACTGCTGTTGTTAATAAAGGGCTGTGAGACTTGAGAGCTGCAACAAAAATTGTACTGTACCATGCTTTGTTGGTTAACATGCCTTTTTTTTTCCCCCTTTAAAAAGATAAGATATACCGTGATAGGTGCTATCTTCCTAATAGGATTCTAGGACAGAGGTGGTTCTGGCTTCCCTGCCAGTCACCGACTAAGGTTTCTGAGGTTTCTTAGCTCTTCTTGCTTTGTGAAGCATACAGTTGAGAGACAGCTTCTTGAGAAGTTAGGGTTTTGGCAGTTAGTACAGTGAGAGTGCAGAGGTCTGAAAGAGACCTGGAGACCAACCCCTGACTCTGACCCCTTAGCCTAGACCTCGGTTTCCCCATCTATCAAATGAATGGGCTGATACCCAGGGCTTGTGGCTCTGCTGGCGCATCTCATTAGTGTTTTATTCTACCCAAAGCGGTGGCTGCAGTAGCTGGTGAGCACTGGTTTCTGTTGCAGCTTGGGGAGGAGGGAAAGAGATAATCGAGGGAGTGCATGAAGTTGTGGACATGGCCTTGCTCCGTTCCATTACGGTCTCTGTGTTTCCTAATGGGGCAAAATGTCTTTGTGGTCAAGGCCCCCACCAGACAGTCTCTGAAGCATTTAGAAAATGTCCCTTCTTAGATGTTTGTGTTTGTTTCCCAGTCATGACCCTTTCCCACCAATAGCCCAGGCCCATTAGTTCCATTGCCTTTCAGTCCTTACCAGTCTGGTGGAGGTCAGGGAAGACTTGCTGGCAGAGGGATGGTGTGCAGTCAGAACTGAGTGCTTCATCGGTCCGAGGAAATTACCGACGTCAGCACCCTTGTATCTCCACACAAACACAGAGAAAATCCAGGAGATTCTCTCTCAGGATTTTAAGTGTATTTCTCAAAGTTTTTGATCTTATTATTAGCCCCTCCTGCTCCAGCCAATGCTCAGGCACTCGGCCCTTGCAGCATCTTGAACATGTCCTGCATCCCTAAGCAGTGAGGAGTGAGGGTGGACATTATAATAACAGCTCAATGGGCTGCTTGTATCTTGGGTGCACCCCATGCACATGGGCAGTGGGTTATGTACTTCTGTGTTCCTCTTAGTCTTTATATGTGGAAAACTTTAAATAAATTTTTGTACCTCATAATAACTGCAGATCCCTCATTCCTATTTCTCCCTGCCCCTCTGGGAGAGATACTGGGTACTCAGAAGCACTTGTGGAGACCACCACAAGATGTAAACTCTCCTCTCCTAGCCCCTCTCACCATACACTCCCCCTAGTTCAACCTCTGTCTTCTCCAGCTCTGTTCCTTTAGCATCCTTTTCACTGGTCTCTCTGCCCATCTTTCCCTCTCTACTCCGTTCTGCACACTGCAGCCAAGATGAACTTTTTTTTTTTTTTTTTAATCTAAATAACTTTATTCAGATGTGATTCTCATACCATACAGTTCCCTTATTTAAAGTTTGCAGTTTGGTAGCTTTTAGTATATTCACAGGGTTGTGGAACCATCAGTCAACATTTTCATCATTCCGGAAAGAAACCCCTACTACTCAGCCATTGTCCTCCCATCTCCCCAGTCCTGAGCAATCACCAATCTTTCTGTCTATGTTGATTTGCCTGGACATTTTGTATAAATGGACTCATGCAAACTGTGGCCTTTTGTGTCTGCCTTATTTCGGTTAGCAGAATGTTTTCAAAGTTCATCTGTGTTACAGCATGTTTTCAGGACTTCATTCCTTTTTACGTCTAAATGATACTCTTGTTTGGGTACACTACATTTTGTTTTTCTAGTTATCAGTTGATGGACAATTGGGTTGTAACTCATTTTTAGCTGTTATGTATATAATGTTGCTATGAACAATCATGTACAGACTGATGTTTTCATTCCTCTTTGGAGTGTAACTCATTGTGGAATTGCTGGGTCATATGTTAACTCTATGATTAAACTTTTGAGGATCTGCTAGACTGTTTTCCAAAGTGGCTGCACCATTTTGCAGTGTATGAGGATTCCAGTTTCTCCACATCCTTGCCAATACTTGTTGTTATCTGTCTTTTTCATCATAGATGTCCTAGTGCAGGTGAGGTGGTATTTCATGGTTTTGATTTGCATTTTGCTGATGGTGGTGTATTGCCTAAGATACTTGACTGTGGTTCAAACCCACCAGCCTCTCTGCAGAAGGAAGATGGGGCAATCTATTTCCGTAAAGCTGTACCGCTTGGAAACCCCAGTGGTGGTGACTATGAGTCGGGATGTACTCGATGGCAGTGAATTTAGATTTTTGGTTTAATGATGTTGAGTATCGTTTCATATGCTTCAAAATGAGCTTTCTTAAGTGGAAATCTAATCTGTTATTCCTGCGCTTAAAACCCTTCTGAAGCATCCCTGTTGCCCTTTGGATACATTCCAGACTCCTTTGGTAGCTCACAAAGCTGGCCAGGATCTAGCTTCTGGTATTATTTCTGGCCTGTTTCTCCCCAGTCCTCCCTGCCCTCTGCTCACTAGTTCCTGGGTGTATCTTGATCTCACCAGCCTTCCAGACTCTGTGCAGTGCTGCTGCTTCTCCCCCAGGTGATACACACCCCACTCTGCTCTCCACCCCATCTCAGGCTTGCCTCCTTCTCTTCCTCTTGACTTCAAGGTCTTCAGGACCTGTCCAGGAAGCAGTCCTCAACTTTCAGAGCCAACTCATGGTCCCCTGCTGTATGTCCCTAGGTACTGCTACCAAGGTAGTCTCAGTTCACTCCATGCTTAGGTTCTGAGGTCAGCGCCTAAGGTAAAAATTGGATGTAATCAAAATTCATCTTAGCAGTCCTGAGAATGGTGCCATGTTGAAGACCACATCTCAAGGCCCAGTGGGAACAGATCACTGTTCCTGGGGATGAGCACCAGGAGTAGTAGTTGGCCTGCCACAGGGCCATACTGTGGAAAGACAAAACACTTACCATGTTAGCATTAGAATCAAGCAAGGACCTCCCTTTTTAAGAGGTTCATGAGAAGTGAGGCCACCGGAGCAGCAGAGGCACAGTCTTCACCTCAGGGCTTCCCGTCTGTCTGTGCTTGTTGAGTTGGAAGGACGGGGGGAATGGTGGTCCAAAAGGCTTGTCTTTTATTTATTTATTTAACATTTTCAGACAAATGCTGTTTTGTTTGCATCAGTGAAACGTGTAATACAAAATCACTACACCTCCACCAACCCAACATCTACACACTGGACTGTAATTCCCTGTTTCCTAGTTTATCTCTTGCTAGACTGTAAGCTCCATGAGAGCAGGGACCATGTCTGGCTGTTCTCAGTGGTTTCCCCAATGTCTTGTACCATGCCTGCTACCTGCACGTGCTTCATAAACATGACAGTGAATGCATAAATCCCCCATTTGCAGGGACAGTTCCATCCTCTTACATGCTTGTTGTGTGCTGTCAAGTCGACTCTGACTCCTAGTGACCTTATATGACAGAATAGAACTGCCCCATATGGGTTCCAAGGCTGAAATCTACAAAAGCAGATTGCCAGATTTTTCCTCTTGTAGAGCAGCTGTTGGGTTTGAACCACCGA